GTCATTAAATATGTAAGAGTGCATCTGGAAGGGCACACGATGCTATCAAAGCTTGTCGACGAGGGAAAAATCAACTCAAACTCACGAGCACATGGAACAGGCAATGTGCCCTCTCATGTTAATTCCATGTTGTCAAAATGCTTAAAAATGTGTTCTATTCTCTGCTGCTTTGTTTTCTGCAAAGAAAGAGCTTCCCAAACAGCTTTAGTGAAGGCGCTTCATGGATCTGGACATGGACCTTGCTCACAGCCAGCTCTGCTGCTGCAAACACCCCTGGGCTCGTGGGGACAGAGTAAATAAATCAGTGTGGGCACTCTGGTTAGCTCCCAGGGAAGTTCAGCACCCTGGAATTATTAACAGGCATGAAATGCAAGAGTTTGCTCAAGCACCCAAGCAGCCAAAAGCCAAGGCAGAGCAATTCCAGGTGTATCTGATCTTCAGGAGGAGCAGCCAACCTGAAACCAGAGCAGCAAGGGAACCTCCCCCTGCACTTGGAGCTCAGAGGGTGTAATTAGCACTGAAATTCCTTGGAAGGTGCAATTAGTACTAAAATTCCTTTGTGGCATCCATGCTGGATGTCTGGGAGTCTCTGGCTGTGGGGAGGAGTGAGGCTGTAGCACCTCAGGAGCTCTTAAAATACAAATTGCCTCACAAGATGAAACATTAACTCTGCATCCTTTACCCATTTGGCACCTTATCTCAAGGTTAATCCTGCTCATAGCCCAAACACTGTTTTATAGCTTATCAACCATCACCAGGAAATATTCCAAACTCCAGGCACTCTGCATGACAAGGATAAAGGTGAAGAAAAGCCTTGTGGTTTGCACATTGCCATCAGGATACAACAGGTGCCATTTCAAGTCCTCTAATACTGTAATTAATCTCATAAATCAGCTTGCACAAACTCCAATTGTCTCTGTTGTAATTTCCATGGGAAAACAAACAAACAAGAGCACAGGGACAACCCCCACCTCCTCACCTCAAACCCCAAAAACATTTCAAGTAGCTGGAAATGAAACCTCCTCCAAGAAGAGTAGGAGGACATAAAATTACCACCTGACACAATGATCAGCAGCTTGTACAGATACAGAAGCAAATTCCTTCCTCACAAGCACTGGAAACAGAACCTTTAGCATCTAAGTATGAGAAGATCCCCGTTTCAACACTGATAGTCTAGATAAATATACATATCAACATAATAGATACCTGAATGTGTATTTACAGACAATCCAGGTATTTAAACTGGAGGTTTAAACAGGTCTTACACTACAGTTCTAGAACAGTTTAATCCAGATATTTAAACTGGAACTGCAGGTCTCACATTACAGCTCTAGAACAGTTTAATCCAAATATTTAAACTGGAACTGCAGGTCTCACACTACAGCTCTAGAACAGTTTAATCCAGATATTTAAACTGGAGCTGCAGGTCTTACACTACAGTTCTAGAATAGTTTAATCCAAATATTTAAACTGGAACTGCAGATCTTACACTACAATCCTAGGATAGTTTAATATGGCAGCATTGCCAGAATACAAGCAGCTGCTTTCCTGCCTTTCTTTGTTCAAAAAGTATTGACCCAAGTGAGATCAGTCTGGACTGGCTTAAATGGCATCAGCCATATCCTTGAGCATAAGTCATGTTCTTTTAAAATAGAACAACTTTTATCAGTATTAATTAACATGACACTGAACTGATTCAAAAGCACAAGGAAACACAATGACTTAATGTACTTATGTACTGCCTGTACCCAAACATCACCTGAAAACAAAGCATTCAGTCAGAAAAATCTTAATTAAAAAGCCTTCAGCTGTCATTTGCTTTGCTTCATGGTATGGCTTGAGATTTGCATTTACCTGAAATATGATTAATATCTGCTAAGAGAATTCAAACACGACACTTATGAAAGGAAATCCACTGCAAATCTTAAATAAAACAGCAGAAGAACTTCCTGATTGTTATCAAACTCCCATTTGAATAACGCAGTGCACTAGGAAATACTTCAGTGAACTACAGAGCCAAGAAAATAAAAGACCAGGAGCCTTATCTAACAGAGCAGTACTGAATTATTTAATTCATAAAAGCCTGTTAATCGAGATCCCAGTTTGCAAAGTAGGAGGGATGTAAAAAAACACGTCTCAGCTGCCACCCAGGAGAGCCTCCAACCTCAGACGTGGCACTGAGAACGTGTGGGCACAGCAGCATTTTTATAAAAGCAAAACTTCCACACAGGCTTGGTAGGACTGAGGTCTAATTTGAAGAGAGACCCAAAATAAAGTAGCCTGGATGCAAAAAAAAAAAAAAACAAAACCCAAACCCAAGTACAATTAGAAATGCTTCCCCTCACTAAAAATTAGTGCTATAAACTGAGTTTATGGATTACCACTCTGCATGAGAATGAAGCAGGACCCTCAATCCAAACACCTTGAAATGTGAGTGCTATAAATAACCAATTATTTGATACACAAATCCCTTCCACATGCAGGCAAGGAACCCATTATACTTTTATGAGCTGTAAAAACTGCTAACAGTTAAGCATACCACTTTTATTAACCTAATAAACCCTTGCCTTAAGAAATTCATAACTCAAACACCAAAGACAACCACCACCACCACAAGTAAACACCAAGAACATTTCAAAGCTTAACTTTCCACAGTCTCAGCCACCTGACAGGTTTGCAATGTTAAGCCCTTCAGTGCAGAGGGAAGGAAAGAACATTACTCGTGATCCTGAAGAAAACAAATACTTGCTTCAGGTCCAAAGCTCCAGAAGTCCATAAAAATACTGCTCAGAACAAAATGTGTATGAAAGAGCTTCCAAGAAAGCTGCCTCTTGCCTCAAAACTTAATTAAAAAAAAAAAAGCAAGGCCACAGAAGTCTTACAAATGGATGGCTCTTCAGAAAATCAGTTGCACAAATGCTTAAATTTAACACTAAAAAGATAAGAAAAAGTGTAGCCTTGGTATCACTGTCTGTTTCTATAAACTCAAGGTGCATCAGAAATACAGTAGGGAGGTATCAGTTGTTTAGACCTGACCAAAACATCTGGACTGTGACAAATAATCTGCTGGGAAAAAAAAAAAAAAACCAAAAAAAACATTTCCAGGATATTTTGTTTGAGGGAGAAAACTACATGGATCTTCTAGGCTAGACTTAAATGGATTTAGGCATCACTCACAAATAACAGGATGCTTAATAGCAGCAAACTGCCAAGAGTGGGGGTTCAGGCCCCCCCTTCTCTCTGAGGAGCATCAAGGACTGATGCTCAAATGTCCCTCACTCCTGGATGAGCTTCCTGACAGGAGTCATCCTCTCCATAAGATTTTTAAGTTTATACAGAATAAAAGGCAAACAGAAGTTGGACTTGTGGGTCCCTTCCAACTCAGGATATTCTATGAAAGAGAATACCAAGATACAATCTAGATTTCCTCTAGATTCCTTTACTTCCCCCACTGCTTCCCCAGAGTTCCTGGCTGGAAAGGGACATGAGGACAAACTCAGGGCTGAACAGATGAAGGATATATGTGGGAGGGAGAGGTGCATTAGTCACCCCTGGACATTCCAAACTTCACTGATCCAGGGCCTGTGCAACCTCATCTCATCTGACGAGCTCCAGAGGTCCCTTCCAACCTGAATTATTGTCTAATCCCGGGGGTGAGGAACAGCAAGCAGTCAGGAGACCTCTGGGGCACAGCCAAGGAAATGACCTATGTCAGGAAAGGGACATGAGCAAGAGGAAAGCCCAAATCTGTCACCGACACCGGGCACCACCTTCCAGCTCCCGTCCCAGCTCCCAGCAACTCCTGCACACGGCCACTCCATCTCCTCCAACCTATTCTCTGGAAGGATGGGTTCTGCTCTGTTTTGAGAGCTGGCACCCGAAGTTTAACAAAACTTTTGGTCAAAATATCCTCAGTTTCCCTAAACCACCAGACTGTAAAGACATCAACTCTTGTGCTGGAAGTGGGACTCAGGAGCTCTTGTGAACTCAGTGAACATTCCCCTGCTGACGTTTTATAGGCGTAGAATCACCGTATTTAATACTTTAACCCTTTTTATTTTATAGAAAGGAATTAAAAATATATTATTTGTCAGGTGATGTAGGCAATAAAGTGCTTCCCTTCTCCCTCTTTTTGTTTTTGCTCCAACTACTAAACTGACTTCACTGGATTCCCTTTCCCCAAAAGGAATTATTGGCATACTCCTGTGAGAATGTGGGATTACAAAAAAAGCCACCCTACACTTTCTTGGATTTCTGCCTTCTTCACCTTCCCATTCCTTGGCTGAAGCTGCCTTTTCATACTCGCTTCCTCATCATCCAGAGCAAGTTTTTTTCTAATTAAGACAAGTAATAAACATTTAAACAGCTGCCCAGACCACGGTCTGATTAACATAACCCTCAGGCAAGTTTCGTTAAGGGGGGAAAAAAAAAACCCAACAACAACCCAAAAACAACAACAAAAAAAATTCTTCTTGTCAATTCTCGCTTCCTCTTCTGTATTTTCTTGCTTGTTTTTTTGTCCTTGTGTTGCTGTCATCTGGTTAACAGCGTCCCACTCACTCAAGCACAGAGGGCTGGAGAGCAACGGGGTGAATTAGCACGGGGCAAAATGCAGAAAAAGAGGCATTTTCCCCCAAATCCGCAAAGCAGGAAGAAGGAAGGGCTGTCCCAGCAAGAACCGGCTGTAAAGCAGGTGCAGAGAGGGCTGATCCCCGGGGGAAAGGACGAGACAAAATAAAGCAAAAAACCCAGGTTTGGGAAAAGATATCGGGAGAGGGGGGTGAGCACAGCGCGGCTGCGGCCGCACAGCCGCCTGTGCCTAGCCGGGCTGTGTTTATTCCTGGTAAATAATGAAGGACACACGGACACGCACCGATTCACCCGCACTGGGACACACCTGTCCCGACCGACACCTGTCCCCAAGGACCGGCACCCCCGGCCCGCGCCGCTCCCGGGAAGGACAGGACAGGGGGATGCTGAGGAAGAAGAGGAAGTCTCACCTCGCCGGTTCATGGGGCGGACACGCACCGCCACCTTCACTTTGGAGTCCCCCATCCTGCCGCTCCAGCCTTCCCGGCTCCCCCTTCCCTGCCCGGCTTCCGTCTGCCGAGGGAGAGCCGGAGCGGGGAGGAGCGCCGGGGAGGGAGGCGCCGCGCCGGGCCAATGTCGGACGGACTACAACTCCCAGCGAGCATCGCGCAGCGCCACGCCCCTTCAGCTCCCGGCGGGCCGCCGCGGTGCGCGCTGGGAGATGTAGTTCTTCCCGCTGCCCCCAGCCTGGTGACGAGGCAGATGGGCTGAATCACGGAATTAATTAACGTGGAATTAATGTGGAGTCCAACCTGTGATCCATCACTACCTTGTCACTAGACCAGAGCACTGAGTGCCATGTCCAGGTGCTCCTTGGACACCTCCAGGGATGGGGACTCCAAAACCTCCCTGGGCAGCCCCTCCAAATGTCTAAGCACAGAATCACAGAATTTGTCAACTTAAAGGTGACCACAGTGGGTCATCTGCTCAAGCAGGGTCAACCCAGAGCACAGGGCACAGGATTGCATCCAGATAATCCTGGAATATCACCAGTGAGTGAAACTCGACATCCTTTCTGGTCAACCTGTTCAGTGCTCGGTCACTGCACAGGAAAGAAGCTCTTCCTCATGCTCAGGTGGAATTTCCCGGGCACCAGATTTTCTGTGAAGAAATTCTTCCTAATGACCAACCTGGCACAGCTTGAGGCCATTCCCTCTGCTCCTGTCCCTGTTCCCTGGGAGCAGAGCCCGACCCCCCTGGCTGTCCCCTCCTGTCAGGGAGTTGTGCAAAGCCACAAGGGCCCCCCTGAGCCTCCTTTTCTCCAGGCTGAGCCCCTTTCCCAGCTCCCTCAGCCCCTCCTGGTGCTCCAGCCCCTTCCCCAGCTCCATTCCCTTCCCTCGACATGCTCCAGCCCATCAATGTCCATACTGAACTGAGGGACCCAAGCATTGAATGCTCAGATGTGGAGTCCTCCAGAATAGACAGATTTGTGAGGGGGTGCAGCCAAAATAACATTTATGGAGTGGAGGGAGATCAGGGTCACCCCAGACCCTGCCACTCTACCCTTGGGGGGCTGCAAGGGAAGCCCATCACATCTCAGTCTCCTCCTTTTGGGGAAATACTGAGGTATTTCATGTTGAGCAGACAACAGCATTGCCTCTGGAACTTACACACCTCACCTTGGGATTTCCTCTGTGTTCCATGGGATTTCTGTCCATCAGAAATCGCTTTATAAGTCACATCACCTTAAAGATCACAGAATGGTTTGCGTTGGAGGGGACATTTAAAGTTCATCTCGGTCCAACCCCAACCCCTTCCACTATCCCAGGGTGCTCCAAGCCTCACCCAGCCTGGCCTTGGACACTTCCAGAGATGCAGGGGCAGCCACAGCTTCTCTGGGCAACCTGTGCCAGAGCCTCCCCATCCTCACAGCCAGGAATTCCTTCCCAATATCCCATCTATCCCTGCCCTCTGGCAGTGGGAAGCCATTCCCTGTGTTCTGTTCCTCCATCCCTTGTCCCCAGTCCCTCTCCAGCTCTCCTGGAGCTCCTTTAGGCTCTGGAAGGGGCTCTGAGCTCTCCCTGGATCCTTCTCTTCTCCAGGTGAGCACCCCCAGCTCTCCCAGCCTGGCTCCAGAGCAGAGGAACTCCAGCCCTGGGAGCATCTCTGTGGCCTCCTCTGGTTTCACTCCAGCAGCTCCACCTCTTCCCTGTGCTGAGGATCCCAGAGAACCATCATGAGCCACACGCCAAGGTACAGACCATGGGTCAGGTCCTGTCTGGGTCTGGTTTCACAGAGCAACCCCTGATGGGTTCAGTGTCAGCAAAGGCAGCTCAGTAAGAACATCAGTAGGAATAATCAGACACAGCCTGAACAATATCAAACAATATCACAATTTATCCTCACCAGACCCCTCAACTGCTCAACCACAGCCGCCTATTGCAAAGACTGAGAACGAAACTAAAATGCAAAGATGCAAAAAAACCCCAAACCTCATTTAAATGCTCATGGTTGAAAAACCTTGCAGCTGCTATTTTAGTTCAAAACAAGGATTCTCTCAATGTTGTTTTGAAAAGGCAGATTTCAGCAAGGACAGAAACAGCCCCCCCCCCCCTCCAGAATTCACAGTTGTAATCCTTTGGCTTTCCAACACGGATCGAGGTTTTGTGACAGAAATAAATAAATAACACATGTCCAAGTGGGTTCGAGATAAGATTTTGGCAGGTGGCACTTTTTGCCCAGAAGAACTGAACTCAATATTTATCATTTCATGCCTGTCTGACCTGAAGAATATCTTGTCAAAGCAGAGAGAAAACGAATATTAAGTTGGCATTTAAGTCACGCTGGGATTAATGCCCACGTTCCTAAGAGCATCCCAAGCAAGCATGAAGGCTGGGAAGATGTCTTAAAGCTGCAAAAAAATATTAAATAACAGCTCAGAGCAAGCAGAGTTGTGAAAGCTTGAAGCAAAAACTCAGTTTTTATCTGCAGCAGGGGAAAGCATCATCTCTGCAGCTCCCTGGGAGAGGGGACATCCCACTCTGAGCCTGCACAGTTGGTCCTTGCACTTGTGAACTTGAGGATCCAATTACAGGATGAAACCCAGCTTTGAACTTGTGGTATTTTCCAGCTGGGGCCTCAACAAAACCGCACCAAGGTTTTCTGAAACCGAGTGCTTTGGCCGTGGAGATGAATTTAATCCTCACTTTCCAGCTGAGCACCACGAGTGGAGGAGGGTGGGTGGTTTTTACCTCGGGAATTTGATTTAGAGAACTGGGAGGAAGCCCATGGCCAGATGTGCTCACTGCTGGGGATGGCAGGTGCCACCCAAAGCCAGCCCTTCCTCCTGCATCTCCTCTCCCGTGCCACTCACCACTGGTTTAGGTAAAATTAAACAGCAAATCTTTTTGGGGAAGGATCACACACCACTTTTTAATTTGTTCCAAAGAGGTGCCTGGTGCGTTTTAAGTGCAATCACACAGTTCTTGCAAGCTTTGCTCCAGCTTTCTACTCGCAATGAAGAATTCGTTTTAAAACCTGAAAAATCTCTCTTTTAGCCTTCCTTCACTTCTAATAGCCAAGAAGAAACGATATTTACATCTAACCATTGCTACTTTCTGCAAAGTTCTTCAAGGACAGAGACACCCTTAGAGTCTAGAGACCCATCCCAATTTTGATGCTGTTGCTCGTCGCTCTGGGAAGATGCTCGGGAGCAATAAATTCTCATTCCCTCTGCAAGTCCCTGCCTCTGGACTTTCCCTTTATGCTTCTGCCTGTTTCCTGCACTGAATTACAGCAGCGCAGCTCCTCTTGCACTGGCACAAGCTCTACCTCGGTGTAATTACCCCACTGTGAATTCCTCGACAAGCCCTTTCCCTGGCTCAGGGCTCCACAATCTGTGGGAAGCATCTCCCTGGAGGGGCACAGCTTGGAGGGAGGATATTGTTTCCATTCACAGCCCTGGAACATGCTAATTATGCTGGGAGGAAAGAAGGGGGGGGTGGCAGCTTTCACTTGGGAGGGACAGGCCGGGCAAATAGTTTGTGAAACGCCAACTTAACCCCATCTTGTAGGGAATTGTCTGCAGCTCTTTTCCCCCTTCCTAGTTACTGTAATGAGGGGCTGACTTCCCAGATTAGCTCTGGCTATTTAAATGCTAATTTAATTAACAAAACATCCTTGGGGGGGGGAGGCACTACTCGTCCCTCCCATTCATTTATCGAGTTTCTGAATGCGACACTGTTTTCATCAGGTTGGGGAGCCACAGTTATTGCTGTGCCCACCTGGTTGTGGCAGGGCTGGAACAGGGATGTGGATGACAAAAAACCAGGTCCTTCATCTCTTTTTAAAAAATTATCTTTATTCATTATTTTTTTCTTTTTTAAACAACTAAATTTGATTACTTTTATTTAGAAATCAGTGATTATGTGTGTCCTGCCCGGGGCGTGCGTTGTCACCAGCCTGCCAGGGAAGAAGTTTTCTGCTTTTATCTTGATGAAGGTACCGAATGTTTCAGCTCTCAGATCATCTAGAAAGAATTTTATCTCCGGGCAAGCCAGAAAACACGACAGCCCTTTGGATGTCCGTTCATCCAAACCACAACAAGCAACAAATGAAGTGCGTTTAAAATCCGCTTTTCCATTTGTTCGGCTGCGCGCCGAAAGAGAGGCATCAATTATGGATTTGCTGTAGACCTACTTTGTGCCCATAAATCATTCAGGAGTCGGAAAACCAAGCCGTGGGATCTTAGGAGGGTTTAGTCCAACTTTGAAGCCCTCACCACTTCTGCAAAAAGCCCAGCATCTCTGGGACAGTTCTGGGATGCATCCAGCAGCTCTTTAAGCACCTGCAGCGATCAGATCCTCCGCACAAAATACGTGATGAAGTGTTTAAAAAGCAAAACCTGTTGCTATTGTATATTTTTCAGAAAATTTTGTTTTGTCCAGTCCTTGGGGTAATAGGTTTTCACCTGATTTTGTCTTCTGGTTTATCTTGCTTCTCAGCCTAAAGATATGAATGTATAAAGGAAGTAGAAATTTGGAGGCATGAGCAAAAGCAGAAGACATATTATGAATTCATTTCTACTTTAATAGAGAAAGAAAGTGCCAAGAAAAACCAATATTAAGAACAGGTGAAAGAAAGAAATCTGGATAAAGCAGCAAACCGATATTTCCAAATCAGTTGTGTCAAAATTCTGCTTGTTATAAATTTTTTTTTTATTTATTTCCAGAGGAATTGCTGAAATTTCTCATGTAACATGTTGTGCAAATGAGCAGATTCAGGAGATTCACCCCAATTCTTGCAAAGCACTTTCTGTGCTTTATTATTTTAATAGGAACTTTGTAAATTTGAAGGATTGATCGTTTCCAAGGCCATCCATAACTCTGAATTACACTGATCCCGAGATGGATTTTTAAAGGTATTTGTGTGTGACCTCCTGCCCTCACTGTGAAAAGAATCCCCAGATAAATAAACAAATCCTTGATGTCTTCTTGCAGCAAAATATAACAGAGTCAAGCCCCAAA